CCATAAAATAATCCACCCATCCATCCAAGCATCCATCCATCTATCCAAGCATCCATCCATCTATCCACCCATCATCCACCCATCATCCATCCATCCATCCATCCATCCATCCATCCATCCATCCATCCAAGCATCCATCCATCCAAGCATCCATCCAAGCATCCATCCATCCAAGCATCCATCCATGCATCCATCCATCCATCCATCCATCCATTAAACCATTACATATCTTTGAAGACTGGTGACATTTTAAGATGCTCTTTGCTTGTTAAGCTTTCAACACTTTACATTTTTCCTTTTACAGACAGTTTGGCAGAAATATTACAAATTTCCTGTTGAACGTGACCTTAAGTTGCCCCAGAAGTGCCAAAACTCATTGCTGTTGGTTCTATTTATATTTTTAAATCACTATAAATTTCATCTAAGTGTTGTGTAATGTAAAATTTTAGATACTTGAGTTGGTTTAAGGCTGCAGCAATTCACATTGGTCTACGTTTGGACAAGTTGTCACCTCACCAGTGTTGATGGATGTAAAATATCCAATCTGAGGATGTTCAAGAAGCTACAGTATGAACAACAGGTAAGATGCTCATTATTTATATAAAACTTTCACACTCTTTTTAAAAAATGACTCAATTGTTTTTTATGTTATGGCATAAACCTTTGCCTTGTGGTTGTGTGTTATCACAAAATGCTGGGCCTTATGTACATTTGTTCTGATAATAGCCCTCACTCTTATAATTAGTCCCTTTAAAGAGACAAGTTGCCCCTGCAAGGTGTCGTTAACTCCATCAATACGAGTTTGGAAACATTCCAGTAAGCAGGACATCCTTGGACTGTGTTTGAGAAGGTCACAGACAGGCAGACAGAAGGCTGTATTCAGTCTATATTGTGTAAAAGATAATGGATGGATGGATAGATGGATAGATGGATGGATGGATGGATGGATGGATGGATGGAAGTTCTTTCTGAGAGTTTCAATGCATTTCACCTTTATCCTGCAGAAACTAGCCTCGATCTTCAGTTGCTCCACCAGCTTCCTGGCTTGGCCGACGCTCATGGTGCTGTTCACTGGGGTGTCTCCTTTCATCCTGACCACAAAGACATTAACATTTATGCTTTTAATGCTTTTAAATTTAAATATTGCATCAATTTAATTTCCTTTTTGCTCTGCGGCCTATGAAAAAGACATTAATTCTGATAGTCCTGAAACTTATTGATGATAAGTTAGCTTTATACCCAGTGAATCAAATGAAATTCATCTAGTTAAGACAAAATCACTTGTTAATGCAACAACACAATGTAGTTGTTGGCATATATATTTAGGCAGCTTTAACAGAGTTTACATAAGGTTTGAATATTTGTCAATTTTGTATCACAATCAGTATATCTGCTACACTATGTCATTTCATCCAGGAAAAAAGGGTGTATACATACATATGGATATATATTAAAAGACAGAAGAAACAAACTAGGCCAAATGGTATTAATGTTCATCATGGCCCACTGGTTTTGCCCCCATGATGAGCCAGAAAAAACACAGAAACATCAGATGTACAAAACAACCATTGAAGCCATTAAGACATGTACAAAATGATGACAATGTGATAAAGACAGATTCTTTCATAAATGTCACAAAAAAGAAAGAAAGAATGAAATCAGAGGGGTTGCCATTAAATGGGGGAAAAGCAGAGCAGCAAAGGAGCGAATCTGTTTCACCCATTCTGGACCTTTCCTCATTGTCTTCCTCCATCCTCCCCCTTTCCTCCTTACCCGTATTATATTCCTCTTCAGGTGCAATCTCCCCCCTCTTGTCTGTCCTTATTTCAGTCTTTTTTGTCCGCCTCTCTGTGAGCTGATGCTTGGTGGTATCAGTGTAGCCGGACCCCACCCCTCACAGACAGCAGCCTGGTTGGTACCCTGTTCTGTACAGTCCAGTGCGCTGCAATTCTGCCACAGTGAGGACTAGATACATGGAGGAAGGATGGGATCTCCCTCACTACCCCCACTTCAGCAGTGAATGGTACCTGCCAGACAGAAGGAGGGGTGGAGATGCCATTAGTGAAGGTTTTCTGATGTGGGTGGATTGTACCACATTTAGTGTTTTAGGAAATTTTGTCCAGCTGGAATCTATCAGGTTTGAACCTCTGATGTGAGCCAGAAATTTTCATGTTGATGTGAGATTTTTATTTTTATTGCTATTTCTGAATAAATAAATAAACAAATCCCCCCCCCCCCCACGACTTGACTCATGATGTGTGTCTCTGACTGTGATGACGCTCACACTCTCCTCTGTTGCCATGGGGACTGCTGCAGTCAGCATTGCTGGTTTATATATCGCATTTAAATGTGGACATTCAGACTGATATTTACATGAATGAGCGTTATAAATTAAAATATAACATGTTCTGATGCTCATAGGGGCGATAAGGGAGCAGTAAAATGTCAGAACGTTTAATTCTCTGCTGTTTTTTTTTTTTTTTTGACGCGCTGTCTGACCAAACACCCTATAGAGGAAAGAGCCCCACCGGCAAATATGGCGGAGCTCACGCAGTAAAACGTCTGACTCGTGTAGAGGTTTGTTTAAAAATCAGGTTATTTGACGCCCTTAAATGTACAATAAACCCTACTTTAGAAAAACACGTAGGGGTAAAGTCGAGTGAGTAACCTGGATATTATGGACACGACGACATAGGTCTCCAAAATCATGCGACGCCATCTTTGCTAAGCTAACGCTTTGTTTTCGCTGTTCGGTACTTCCGGTTTTCCTTCGTGACATATCTCTTCTTTTAACATTTCTGGTTATGTGAGCATACCCCCATTTCTTGTGCTTACATTATTATCGACATAGAATACATAAGTACTACATAATAATATGTTTTAGCGTTTAATGATTGTAATTTTTACCCCATATTTTGTCTCCATAAACTGAGGATATAGTTCTTTAAAACGCAAAAATGTTATGTATGGCTCACTACCACTTTATACCTTCCCTGTTTGCTTCTTACTTTGTGTAATTAAAATATACTTTTAAATAAAGAAAATTTTCTATCATTTTTGAGTTGCAAATTAGACTTTAACCCTTGTTTATAACTTGTCACAACAGTTTATAACTGTTTATTGTTGTCATCATCCTTTGTTGAAATCATGTCTCTCTTGTAAATGAGTCCTCGAGGCTCAATGGGATTTACCTGTCTAAATAAAGGTTGAATGAATGAATTGTTTGGAAATTTACCACCAGAACTATTTATTTATTATTTGAGTAGTTCGTTACTGTGTTTAAAATGTTGATTTTAGTGTTCATTGTGAAATCATGTCTCTCTTGTAAATGAGTCCTCGAGGCTCAATGGGATTTACCTGTCTAAATAAAGGTTGAATGAATGAATTGTTTGGAAATTAACCACCAGAACTATTTATTTATTATTTGAGTAGTTCGTTACTGTGTTTAAAATGTTGATTTTAGTGTTCATTGGTTAGATGAAAAGATATTGTGATGTGCTCAGGCAGGACTGATCACTAGAGGCAAGGAGACTGATCGAGGACAAGTGTGTTCAATCAGTTGAGGAGCAGCACACTAGATAAAGGTTTCTCAAACAAATTGTGGAGGGAGAGCTTTTGCAGTGGTTGTGGCAGCACCCTTTTGGAGGGAGGGTGTCGTTCGCAGTCATTTAGGGCTGCCGGCGACGAAGACGGCAAGACAGGTGGTTAAGTGTTCCTGTGTCAGGAGGGTTTAGACAGTTAGGGCTGGGCTTTAGTGGGGTGCAGTCACCACCTTGGACTCCTGCTTCTGTTCCTGTGAGCTGCTGTTCCTGCCACCTGCTCTGATCTGGTGTGGAGCCATTCCAGGAGGTCTGATTGTCGTCAATCCTCAGGGGTGTTGGACGACATCACAAGCTTAGACCCTAGGGAGGGGTCTCATCACTGAGTGAGCTAAGTGAACAAAGTGAACTCATCTAACCTTTTATTATAGGCCTTCTTTTTAGCTTGGGGTGGGGATCATTTTAGGAGTAGATGCATAAATAAAGACTATTTTCATAATCTTCTAGTGTGTGGTGATTGTTTGATGGTTTTGACATTCTAGGCAAGATCTTCTGCCTGTTTGACCCACAAATTTATTACAATATTAAAGAGCAGGAATTTGGACAGAAAAGTTTAGTTCTGCAGCTTCAGGACTCCATCTGCTGGACGACGCTGGCAGCTTTGGACAAATTAAAGAAAAATAATCTAATTTTTAATATTTCAGTATTGAAAGCAGAGGAGAGTAAGTAAGACTGTTTAGGCTACAATAAAGCCATAGTAAAAAAAAAAAAAGGTTCTGCAGAATGAACAATGTAGTTTTATTTATTTATTTTTTTGTGTGTGTGTTGATCTTTGAAGAGCCTCAGTTTGGATGAAATTTATTTCTGATATCCTGATGCATGCTCAATAATCCAGGTAGAAAAATCCAAAAAAGTTAAGTCTAGTCCTCTGGACATTCAAAAAAAAAAAAAAGAAAAGCAAAACATAAAAAAAATGTAGAAACGTTTTGTCTTTCAGACTCGTCAGACTTCCTCAGTCTGAGGTGCTGTATTCAGCTCAGTCTTATAAATAGCACCTTCTCAGAGTGGCTCAACCAGTTTGCTGCTGACAACAAAAAACAGCTGCTCACAAGATCAAGAAGGACCATCAGCTTAATGATGGATCATTAGCACACTGATAGAAGCGGCAAGCTAACAGCTAATCAAGCTGGGCCAAGACCAAAGTGAAACGGTGCCGCTTTAAAACAACTTCATTGTCCAAAATCTCATAGTGATTTATTCAAATGTTACTCTATACTTTTACAATACTGACACTTTTGCATTTCATGGTTATTTCCATGAAATATAGTAATTTTAAGCACAACAAATGGCAGCAGCTAGCTATACTCTTTCCGATTCCAGCCATTAGCTCATCAGTACAGCATGAGTACAATCACAACCAAAGCACATTTTTGCCATCTTAAAGCCCCAAACTATCTAACAAACAAACAAACATTCAAAAAGATTATTGCAAAAACAGGTTTTAAACTGACGACTGTGTGCTGTGTTACATGACTATTTTGACAGAAATCTTATGATGTTCCTGCTGGAAGTGCCTCAGGCAGCATGGGAAGTGCTACAGTTAGCTACCATACCATACCATACCATACCATACCATACCATACCATACCATA